GCACTTTTTCTGTGGGTACATCTCAATTTTAACTCTCCTTCTTTAAAGGACTTTTGTGATTACAGTGGGCCCACCTGGATAACCCAGGACAAATGCCCCATCTCAAGAATATGAATACAGGGCTGGTGAAATAGCTCAGCAGGCTAAATAAAACCACCTGCTTAGGCAAATTTAGGCAAGCACAGGGATTGTGGTTCAATCCCCAGCACCACATGCAGTGTCAGCCCCACCCCCAGGGCAGGCTGAGCCAGTCACAGCAAATAATTAAATTAAAAAAGATTATGAACACAATTGGAACTATAATCTTTTGGATACATAAGATCAGATATCTACAGTTTGGGGGACTAGGAAGTATATATCTTTGCAGGGAAGGGAGGCATTCTGCCTATTACAAGTAAGATACATATTCTGCTCACATATTTCTGTTTGTTTTGTGGGCTAGGTATGCAATGTCTGGTTGTTAAGCCATCTTACCTTCTGTACTCTGAAAGAGATTCCAATTCAGAAATGCATCTACATCAAGGTGTGGCAGTACACACTGTAATTGTTATGACTTGTGTCTAGACATCTGCCCAAAGCCTTGTGCAGTGTTAGATATGGCTTTTTTCAAAGGTGGCTGAATCTAGAGTGTATGATGCTGGAAGTGATGGTGTGTGGTTATTAAATCAGTCCACTGCTTGGTTTGCATCTGCCTTAATCCCAGTAGCCTAGACAAAGTATACAAGGGGAGGAAAAATGCCATTAAGGTCCCTTGTTGCTTCGCTATTTTCTGTCCTTCATGAACTGTTCTTCTCTGCAAAACTACTCTGCCTTCTATTCAGCCAACTATAGACTTCAACCTTCACAGCCTTATAACTAAATAAGCCTTTCCCACTTTAAGTTTGAGTGTCAGGTATTTTGTATTAGTAACAAGAGAAAGGTAACTAGCATAGCAATTATAATACTTTGGCACGCTGAGGCAGGAGGATTGCAAATTCAAGCCCAGTTTAGACACCTTAGTGAGACTCTCTCTTAAAATTACAAAATAAAAAGGGCTGGCAAAATAGTTCAGTGCAAAGGTTCCAGTTCAGTCCAAAAGAAAATGGAAACACATCTGGCCCCATGAGTATGGGCAAGGATACAGTACTTCATATGTTACTGCCCTGATACAGGTGGTCCTTACCTTGCATAGTTCAGTGGCAGCTGAGATGAAATCTCAGCCTGTGTCTTTCTACGTGGACCTCTGTGAGGTTTACCTGAGATCAAACGATGTTTAAAGTGTCAGGATCCAGTGCTGCCCAGGGAGGGTGACTGCCTTGCGCTCAGCTTTCAGCAGTATCAGGTCTGCTGGGATGAATTCACACAAAGCCTGGAAACACTAGCACTCATGAGGAAGAGCCAAGGCTGGCGCTGATGAAACACTGGGAGAGCTCAGCCAAGTCGGAGTCAGCATGTTCCCTCAGGGATCAGGGAAGGTTGCTCCAGGAGAAAAGGGCCAGACACAGCCACAGCACAAGACAGAGCTGCGAAAGCCTTACTTGAGCACCTACCTACTCCAAAGACTGGAAGATGCTATGTGTATTTTCAGTCATAAGTTGAGGCTTTTTAATGAAAAAGTATATTCCAAACTGGGTTACTGATCCAGTCAGCTTATAGTAAAACCCTTAGAAACAAAGCTAGCTTTTGACCTAATGGTCAAATATTTAGGAAATAATGAAAGGCAGACAAAAGCTATAATTCTTTGTTGTTGATTTTTGAGATGGGACTTGGTGTGTAGTTCAGGCTGGCCTTGAACTCACTGGGTAGCCCAGGCTGGCCCTGTACCCACAGTGATCCTCCTGTCTCAGTCTCTGGAGTGTTGGGATTAATGGCATGTTCCACCATTCCTGGCTAAAAACTACATATGTAAAAGAAAAAAAAATAGACAAAGGAAGGAAAAATCAGGCCAATTAATCTGAAGATTTTTAAGGTTTATGAAAACTCAATGTTGCTTTCACCTCTACATTTAATAATTTCAACATTGCTTTCTATAATGACACAGGGAAGGCACTCTGGCACTAAAATCATCATTTCTTTCACACTGGTACAGTAACAAAGTTCTCAACAGCTTTCCACACTACAGGAACTCAAACTCGCCTTAGAGACTGGAGCGAGCAACAGGTGAGCTGGTAGTGCCACACTGTTAGGGCACAACCACTGTGGCTAACAGAAAAACTTCAGGTGAGTTCTTGAGGTGGGAGAACAAAGGAAGGGAGGGCTTTGGGTTGTCATAAAGTTGGACAAGAGGTGCAGTCTCAGGAAGCAAATCTTCATTCTGTACTGACAGGTTTGGTAGAAGATGTCTCTCTGCCCCTCTAGCTAGTCATCTTGGACACAGAAAGGCTAATTCTGGCAACTACAAAATTGAGTTCACTCCTGATGTCAGGTTAAGTGAATAACTAATATACATTCAGAGGTTCATGGCTAGAAAGTGCTGCAGCAAGCAGCCCATCAGTAGACTTGTTAGTATCTCCGTCTCCTCGACGCACCAAGATTCCACAGCTGGTCAGACCCAGGATTGAAATGCTCTTCACCTGATGCCAGACCCTATCACTTTCCCCGCCACAGTGTGGCACCACATGCTCAGTGAAGACGCTGGACTGTCTCTCCTGTGGCACAGGTGCTTTCAAACCCGATTACTTAACACATTATGCAAAAGATGTGTGAAGCACAGACTCTGCTTCTCTCCTAGAGATTCTAGCCCAGAGTGCTTGCTGTGAATCTGTATTTTTAAATTGTTGTCTGGAATCTTACATATAGTCAGGTTGCAGACTGGTGAAATCAAAGACCAGTGCCACAAGTTTTCCTGATGGTGCTTACAGGGCTTAGTTTATGAAAATAGAAATCAGCGTGTTTCCTAACTTATCTTACTGTGTAAGAATCTGTTGAAATATACAGCTCACTCTCTGAGAAACACCTAAGCACATACACAGTTATGTGGGATTTTACGTGATTTCCATTGCCACCATGACCAACTATCACAAATAACGTGGTGGCTTAAAACAACAAAATAGACTATTTTACAGTTCTGGGTTCAGAAACTAGACATGGGTCTCACTGTTTAATCTCACTGGATTCAATACAAAGTACCTTGGGGTTGTGCTCCTTTCTGAAGCTCTAGGAGATGAGACATAAGCTTTTGCCAGCTTATAAAATCTGCCTGAATTCTTTGGCTCATGGATCCCTTCCTCTGTCTTCCAGGATAACAACGACAGTGTAGCTTTCTGTTTCCATGGTTAAGTCTCTTTCTTTGATTACATTCAGGAAAGGTTATCTGTGGCTTTTTTTTTTTGGTACCAGGGATGGTGTGTGTGACACTCTGCCACTAAGCTGCATCTACAATTCTAGCCCCATTTTTAAATTTATTTTTATTTTAAGACAGCGTCTTGCTAAGTTGCCCAGGTGGGACTTGAACTGGCAATCTTTCTGCCTCACCCTCTCAAAATGATGGGAGTACAAGTATACGCCCCATGGACTTATTCTCTGCTTTTGAGAATTCTCGTAAATCCATGCTACATCTCCCATCTCAGAGTCTTTCTGCTAGTCCTCTTTGAGTCCCAACATTGGCTATAGGAGAGGAGAGTAAAAGCAAAAAGCCTGGGTTCAATCGCCTGTAATCCCCTCTCGCCAGCCCCCCCTCCCCAAACAGAGCAAAGGCAGGAAAAACACCATTGTGTGGTCAAACTCCGCAGTAAGGAATGCTAATTCAGTAAAAATCTTAAATCCGAGTTACAAATTCGGGAGGTGGAATGATGACGGCTACTCAGGATCCAGGGAAAGGATTTGTTTTTCTTTAGCGGTGCTAAGGCTAGAACTCAGGTTGTTTTGCATGCCTACACTACACGCTCAGCCAGGTGAGCTACAGTTCACCGGGTATAGTTTGTTTTGTAAGATGAAGAGGGTTCTTGGAGTTGGATGGTGGTGACTGGTGGCACAACAAAAGTGGTTAGGTTTTTGTTGTGTATGTTCTACCACGGTCACACGTCCCTGGACTCCAGCCCTCTGATTCAGCAGGCTTAGAGCAGGACCTGAGGATGTGCACTTCTGATGAGCTCTGGGAGATGTCCATACTGCTGGATCCACACTTGGGAAATCACTGTCGCAGGGGACCAGGACAACAGAATGAGGAGGGGCACGCCCTTCACGCGCCTAATTATTGTTATTAACAACAACAGCTGGCGCTCACCGTGCGCTTCCCGCTTACAACGGATTGCACAGCTGCGCTCCGGGCCAGCGCTGGGCAGGGTTGGAGTCTATCTCCGTCCTTTACTGCGTTGCGTTGGTCCTTGGTGTGTTAAGCTGAGAGGTAAAGAAAGAGAAAAACAGCCAGAGCCAGCGGGGCCAACAAAACCCGTCGGAGC